GGAGGAAACTCTGAGAAAGTCAGGAAGTGACTTGGGCATGCCCTGCAGCAGTTGAGTGCAGCCGCCAGATCCAAAGGGTCTGCTTCTCACCTCTGGGTTCTCTTCCCACGGTGTGGCCTCACTTTATGGGAAAGGAGATTATCTCTGTAGATATGCCCTGACTGGGGATTCCCTGGCAGTTGGGTGGTAAAGAACCTGCCTGCCAAGCAGGAGACTTGGGTTCCATCTCTGGGTCCGGAAGATCCCCTGGAGAAGGCAATGTCAACCCACTCCAGTATTCTTGCCTGGAGAATCCCATTGACAGAGGAGCCTGGAGGGCTGCACACAGTCCTTGGGGAAACAAAGAGTCATACACGGCTTAACAGACTGTGCCTCGACTACCCCCATTATAACTGGAGTGTGATAGCAGCCCAAGCTCCCTGGACAATGAATGCCTGCGGCAAGCTAAGAGCTCTGAAAATTCAAACCCTACTCAGTCCTTGTACTGGGCCCCTATTTAGCTCATTAACCACTTTTGGTGAAGTAAAGGTGATCAGTAAAAGAGACTGCCAGAGACTGCTGTTACCAAACATCTTTCTGTCTTGAGTGTTAGGGAATTTCAGCTGAGAGAAGAGGGCTTAAGGGAAGAAATAATTTTGTTTGTTTTTTTTTAATTTCTGAACATCTGCCAAGTCACTGTCAGAAATATTTTTTAGAGTAAGAATGTTAACTTTATCACCTGCAAAACATACAGGTCAGCCAAGCAAAGTTTGACCACTAAATTCAAACTTGGAAGAAAAAAAGTAAAGAGACTTGGGAACATCTGCTTTTGGGAATTGAAAAAATAATCAGCAGCAGCAGACTGTAGCCCAAGCTCTTCGAAGCCCCCCAGCCCCACCCCTCCCTACCCCCTGGCTCAGCCACACGATGTGAGGCCGAAGGACCCCCGGTGGGCTCGATCTGCCCTCACCCGGGCTGACCTCCACCACGAATCCCAGGCCACGTGCGCAGGAGGTCACGGCCGGCACTAAGGCCTTCAGGGCGGTGGCAGCACAAAGGCGGTGGCCAACCGCGGATCTTGCCGGTAGGGGGACACACCCCCATCCCCAGTCCGAGCTGGAAAGTCTAGCTCCAGCAGAGAGCTAAAGAACGCTGTTTGGGGTCTGCAGTGACCTGGGGACTGAGAACAGGAAAGAAGTAGATGTGACTTTCTCGGCCCGGCGTGGCGAATCCGCCGCCCTTGGATACAAGTGCCCTTTTTCATAATCTGCAAAGCCGGCGCCCTGCCTGCTTGGCTGGCAGGAATTCGGCGCAGACAGCCTGGAGTACGAACGCTCAAAACTTGGCCATGCCTCCCCACTGTCAACACCTCGCGCCTCTTCACTCTAAAGAGTGCGTTCACTCCCAGTTCGGGGTGGCCAAATTGGGAAGGGGGATGGTCGGAGCGCCCTCTTCCGCGGCGCCTTTACCCTCTGTCACCTGTTCCCCAGACCCCCTGCCTCCGGTTGCGCTGATCCCACGGCCAGCGCCCAGGTGACCAGCCGTGCCAAGTCGTAGGCTAGCCCTGCGCCTGGCTCGGCCCCTCTCCCCTTCCGTCTCCCCGCGTGGGTAGTGGGGAGCTTTACTGGGATTGCACCACTGACAATCCAGGCGCGTGAGCGCTGAGCGGGAGCCGGCGGGATCCCGCGAGCAAGCGTTTGCACCCCAAACCTGACACTGGTAAGGAGGGAACTGCGCTATGCTGGGATCTCCGCCCGCCTTCGCACAGGTCTACTGGGCAGTAAAACGAGCCGCACTGGGGGCTTCTGCGATTCTGTATCCGTGACCACCCGCTTCTCCTCCCATCTCCTACAGCCATAGCCACTATCCTCAACCTTGAGCTTTTTGGCCAGTCTCGTGGTTATTCAAATCCCCACAGACCCACAGAGAAAACTGGAGAGGGAAAAGAGGTTCAGTGCCCGCTTCTCCACCGCGCGCGCTCTCCCAAAGCCTAGCTGCTGGCGCACTGGAGACCACGGCACTGAGCGCGCCGGAGGCAGTGGGTGTCGCCAGGGTCCAGACACTGCGAGGCATTTTTTATGGAAACCACAGAAGCCCGTTTATAAGGGGCTGCAGGGGCCATGGAAGGAATGAGAAGGGCGAAACAATGAGCCTTTAAAAGAAAGCTGAGATCTGTGGAAGGAGCAGCAAGGGAAACCCGGGGACTGGAGCTGACCGTGAGGCGGGGCGCGGGCTGTGGAACTCAGTGTACGCTTCCTCGCTAGGAGCGCGCGCACGTCGGAAAAGGACCCGGTAACAAGTTCTTTGGACCTTGTCACGTTTTGAGACCGTGGTTGGAGCCGGGTACCCGCAGTGAGCCCCTAACCACCAGCCCAGCGCCAGACACAGGAGAACGAGAAAGAAAAAACCCAAGAGGTTTGACAGCACCTGTTGGACCAGGGCACGAGCCCGAGAAGGCTGCCTGCTCACATGCCCCACCCCCATGCTCCATCACTTCCCCAGGACCCTCTGCGTACACCCCGCCATAACCATGGGTGATGGTCGAAGGTCGTCGCAGCCAGACTACGCACACTCGGGCGAGTCCCGGCGGGCGCTCCCTACTCTGATCCTCAGTGCAGCAGGGAGTAGTGGGGTCCCCAGGGGAGCAGCCAGGCATGTTAGGAGAGCCGCGGAAAGGGGCTGGGTTAGGGCCCGGGACCCGGGGCGCACTGCTGCTCACCTCGCTCACTGGCCTGGATGTGGCGCACGATGTCCTCCAGATCCAAGTCTTTGGTCTCATCGAAATTGTAGGCTGACGTGTGCAAGCCTTCCTCCTGGAAGACCTCATGGACCCCCTCGAGGGTAAAGAAGCAGTTCCGCTCCAACTTGTCGTCGCTGTAGACCAGCACGGCGCGGCTCCACTGGTGGTGGCGGAACAGGGCGAGCATCATCTCGCCCATCTTGGCGTACGAGGGTGCCACGCGCGTAAGGTGCGAGTACTCCGTGTCCTTATGCTGGAAGCCGGCGGCCAGTGCCCCGGCAGACAGCATGGGGAGGTCCCAGTGCGACGCTAGCCGGGCCACCGGCGCCGCCGCGTACTCGCACACCGGCCCCAGGATGAGATCCGGCTTGGCTCCCCGCGCCGCCGCCACGCGGTCCACCAGGCTGAAGAGCGCGCGGTTGCCGCAGTCCGAGTCTTCGTAGGCCACCTGGAAGCGAGTGCCGGCTGGCAGGAGCCGCCGCCCGGTCGCATTGCCCTCCACGCTGCGCAGCGCGTACTCGATGGCCGGTCGCACCCGAGCCAGGGAGAACAGGTAAGAGTCGTCCTGGGGCAACAGCACCAGAACCTCGATCTTCTGTGGCGGCAGCGCCTCTCTCTCCCGGCGCCCACCGCCCGGGCCCGCGCCCCCGCCGCCGCCGCCACCAGTGCAGTCGGCCAGTAACGCCCAGCCGAGCAGGACGCACGCGGAGAAAGTGAGGACCAGTAGGGACGGCATCGCGCCGCAGGAAAGCGCCTGCCCTCGCTGCGGACTCGCCCTCTGCCCCCCACCCACCCTACCTCTTTCCTCCCCACTCCTCTCCGAGGTGCCTGCGCCCCCTTGGGCGCTCTAAGAAAAAAATAAAAGAATACCCCCTTCACTAGCCAAAAGAGAGAGAGGAAGAGTCCTCCTTTGCAATGCCACTCGTTTAAAAAAAAAAAAGAAAAAGAAAAGAAAGAAGACAGAAAAAGAAAAAGTTCACCGGGTGTAAACCTGTACTCCTATATTTATATATATACTTTTTATAAATACATAGATTAGCCCTCCCTTGATATATACTATTTTGCTTAGAGGTGGCTTCTTATATGGGCGTTGCTAAGGTTGCTTTGGAAAGCGCATTTGTAAAAGAAGAAAAAGTTAGACTTGTCCAAGTGCTTGTAATTGACGGTGCATCTCCCTCGCGTTTGATCTCATTGATTCGCGCCGGTTCCCGGATCCATAACCCGCGTTTAAATAGCGTGGCAGCGGCGGAGCGTGTTACCACACAAGGCGCGCAGAGGCCGGGCTGGTATTTCCAGAGGGTGGGGAGGGTGGGGGTGGGGAGCGGTGGGGGCTGGGCTAGGGGAGTCTCTAATTAACATTCTTACATCAGGGCTCCTCCTCCCCGCACCCCTACTCTTCCCACCCCTCCCCTGTCCCTGACTCCCACTCCTCGCCAGCCCCTCTGCCTTTTCCTTAAAGCCGCAATCGCTCACTTCTACAGCCGCGGAAGCCCCCACCGAGCTACACCGCCACCGGGGTCCCCGCCTCTCTCTGGCCGGGCACGCGGCAGCTCTGTCTCCAGCTCCGGGCTTTAAAAATGGAAATGTGTTTGAAAGTAAAGAAACGCACGCAGACACACTCACACGCGCGCGCGCGCGCCTTGCAAAAAAAAAAAAAAAAAACGGGATTAAGGGAAAGGGATGGCCCCAGAAATTGGTGGTTTGGTTGAAAAACAAACAAACAAACACCCTGGCTCCCGTTTGCTCTCACCTCTCTCTCACTTCAGCCACAATCTCTCCACACGCGCCAACTTGGGACGGGCTCTCGACCTTCGTGGTCCCCTGGCGCAAGGTCAGGAAACAGGGACCAAGGTCCCAGGGCAGATGGCTGGGTCGAGGGCCTGGAACGCCCAGCTGCCCGGGCGTCCTCGCCCCGCTTCTTCCCCTGCTCCCCACCCCCGGCGGCCACCTCCCCGCGAGCTGCGCGCTTTCGCGCAGGAGTCGCCGTGCCGCGCGGGATCCAGTGTCCCAGCGCACCCACATCTCCCGCGGCGCGCGGCGACCAGAAAAGCGAAACTTGTTGCTTCCAAAGGGAAAAACGATTCTTCTGAAGGTAGCAGAACGCTTGAAAAACATCTCCAAGGCGTCCTCTGGGCTTTATGTGCTAAGCCAGGTAACTAAATAAAGAGACCTTCTCCCTAAAGCTTCACCCCTGAGGGTCCCCCGGGTGCAGGCGCGTCATCAGCCGCCATCCGTGCGCTCGGAAATCCCACCGCTTCTCCCCGGTGCCCCGGATCCTGCAATGCGGAGGAAGACCTGCGGCCAAGACTCGGTCGCTTGTCACTTGTCACAGGCAGGCACAGCAGCGGGGGAGGCGAGGATGGACACGGTCGTGGAGAAGTTGGTGGCCGGAGGAGCCTCGCCAGGGTCCGCCGAGCTGCGAGGCAGGTTCGAAGGGAACTTGACCCTTCGATCGTGGTAACACGCCGAGGTCATTTGCAGTATGAACATGCTATATTGGACTGGTGAATTCTGATATTTAAATCCCACGAATTAAAATAAATTGGAAAATGTTTTCAAAGGTCTTTCATTTGACTGGGCGTCCGTGTCCACAAATTCGTATTCGTCTTAGACCAACGCCCTCTTTCGGCAGAAACTTGTAGCCGACTTGTATCCCCGATGCCATCATTCCGAGTTCGCTTTTTTGTTTCTTGTTTGTTTGGTTTTTTGCTTTGTTGAACTCCAAGGCCTCAAAGAGCAGTCGCTCTCATTTATGAGGATGAAAAAGGCAAATTGGGGCTTCCGGAGATGTTACAACTTCAAGCATCAGCGCTCATCAGCCTTACCAGCACCCTCCTTATCGCTCTTTCTGGCACCATAAATAAAATGATGAGTAAAGTTTCACCCTCCAGGGCTTTTAGATTTCACGTTATGCACTGCGATCCCTGAATCTTCAAGTAGGATCTTCTAACTCCTGCGAAAACTTTCATTTATTTTATTAGAGCTGCTAGCCGGTAGCAAACGAGGCATCCGTATACAATTTAATTCCACAAAAAAACGTAGTCTTCACACACTGGAAATTAAGATTTAAAGCTTCACAGTGATTAAAAAAAAAAAATCCCCCCTGAACTCCTAGGAAAGAGAGAGAGAAGGAAGAAGGAAAGGAGGGAAGGAAGGGAGAGGGGGGAGACAGAGAGGCTAAATCCCGAATTCCAAGGGTCTAAATGGATTTCGAAACTGGTTGCCAGGAGACGTGAAGGAACCAGGGTTTGCTATTACTGCTCGCTCTGCTCTGTGTCTGGGGAACTCTGGCCAATGGCGACTTGATGCTGCGCATGGTGTAGCGTAGCTTAGTCGGAAAGGCTGGGGTGACCCGGGGCGAGAACGCCTCTCCCCTTGCAAGGCGCTGCCCATTCGCGCCAAGGGTCACGGGCAGGGCAGTGCCTTTACCGTGGAGTGAGTATCACAGCCTCTGAGTGGCCTTTGGATCAGAGCTCTCAGCTTCCAGTCTATCATTCAAGAGCCCTGACAAACTCAGCCCTGTAAGGGAAGAGTCCCCAAACTAGGCAGCTGAACCAGAGAATCCGGTGCTCAAAACACCCCTTACATTTTTCCATTGAGCAGAAATTAGGATGTATTTATTGAGGTACAATTGGCATATGACATTATACTAACCTGAGGGATATAACGCAATGATTTGATACTTATATATACTATGAAATCATCTCCACAACTCTACTTGACATCGTCACCATATAGAGTTAGAAAACAAAAATTTTTGTGTGATGAGAACTTTAATATCTGCTCTTCACAACTTTCAAGTATGCCATATAGCGTTACTAGCTATAGTCACTATGCTGTACATCACCATGACTTAATCATTTTGTAGAAAATAGGATTTTTTTTTAAGTTTTTCAAATGAAAATAGGCACAAGATTATAGGAAGAACTGCCAAGTAATATAAGTATATGGACTTAACATTACCAGTTTACCTTTCCATCAGACTTACCCAGGCAGCTGAGAGTGTGTGGGAGTATCATGAATATCATGGAGTTCTTCAATCTTATGGCTGGAAAAATCTTATGTCACCTAACCTGAGACATTTTGTTCTCTATGTGAGGAATCTAGGCCAAAGAATATAAATGCCATATTTATATACCTCTTCACCCCCTGGAAGATATTTTTTTAATGGCACTGAATTAGAAATAAATATTTATTACACCATGTAAAAAAGGGTTGGGAGCAAAGTTAAATGCCATTTAAGAGTAATATGTTTTATATCAAAAATTTATTTTATATGTTGCTGTTTTGAAAACTTGCAGCATAGTAAGAAAGATACTAATAGATTGTAGTCTAATTTTTGCAGCATCATGATCATAAAGATGAATCAAACCATGTAGGTAGGAAAAAAGAAAAAAGTAGGAGTAACTCATGCCTTGGACTCAATTTTTAAACATTATTCTCTTCAATTCTGTAAAACACTGAAATGGGAGGCAGGAGGTGGAGGGAGAAGCACTTTTTTTAACAATTCAAAAGATTACTAACCTTTTCACTGAATGCATTCTTTCTGACTACAATTCCGAATGAAAACAAAGAAAGTTACAGGGAATTGCTGTGAAATAAAATTAGCCAAATGAAAAGCAATGTTAACCCTAAATGTGATATTATAGAAACTAATACACTTTTAATAAGATTTAGATCTCTTTTCATCAATATCTATAAATCATATTTTTTAACTTTATTACTAAAATCAAGTGGCAAGTTTTCTATGAAGTATTCAGCAGTTTTCCATCTGTGAAATGAAATTTTGTCTCTATGGCATTACTCTGCCAACAGGGAAAACAACATCCTATAGGGAACCTCAACTAGCCATTGTTTGAAATATACATGCCATCAGAATGAAGTTTTCTCCACCCGTTGTCACAGTCTGTACCATCTCCCTCAGAAGCCTGGCTGCAATTTCTAAAGTGACTTTAAAAATGACTCTCCTCTCCCTTGTTAAGCCAGCCCTGAAGTCTTATTGAAGAATAATGCTATGAAGCCTGTAGCCCACAAATAAAGTATCTTATGGGGACAGAATTGTTGAAAACACACTTCCCCCTAGAGGCAGAAAACATGAAAGAATATTGCATGTAATTCAAGAACATTTCTGTAATTCAATGAGTGCTGAGATTTTGTTTTTAACATACAACTGATTCTTTAGAGGGAGATGTGGGAAGAAAATCAATAAATGGCAAAAAAAAAATTTAATTGAAAACTTGCCTCTAGGTTTTAGCTTTCCTTAGCAGAGACTTTGTTAATTGATCTCTTCCCTTCTTTTATACAAATCTACAGTTTTTTCCCAGCACTATAATAATAGCAATTACATATATTTATTTAAATTTAAACTTATGATTTAATTTCATCAGAAAATGCAGTTAAATGTGGTCTCGAAGGACCCTTTTGAAAATGCAGCTCCAGTAGATTTAGCTCCTTATGGTCAGATTTGTTTCTGTATTACAATGTATTTGTAACTGTTCTCCTCAGTTTCCATTAACCGCAATCTCTCTTCATTTCTTTGGAGATGTTCCAAGATAGAATGATATTAGAAACACTTCTGAAAAATGTAGAACTCATCTGTGATTTAGTCTGAGTTTCTGGCATGAGGTTTTCTGAGATTGGCAAGCTACATCAAGAATTCTCACCGTTGATTTATAGACCAGTTATTTAATATAAATCATGAGATTCACAAAGATAAGTGTATGTGCCTCAACTTCATCCATGCCAATTCTGACTCCATTTAATTGGTTTACATAGTTGTACATGGCATTATGTCAAAAAGGACTTAAGAAGGCATGTTAAAATATAAAATGGAACTTTAGAGAATTTTCCTCAGGGCAAAGTGCACAGCCATTGCATCCTACTCTCCTACTCTTTTTTCTTAAGTTTTTACTAACTATTCCAAGCTTCAGCAACAATCACTTCTCCCATCTGAGTTCCCACAGTATCCTTTGGGGTCGTGATCACATGCGATTTTATTTCCAGAAATTTTATTTCCATTTACAAGGAGCCAGTCTGGGTGGGAATCTAGTTCTCAGGGTGATAATCCTGTGGGAATAAAATGCATTTAGAAGCCTCACAATGTGTCCCAAGGTTATCTCCTCACCTATCTGCCCTTTAGTTTCCCCTTTCCCTCAGTTTTCCCCTTCTAAAATGGAGATAATAATCTTGTCCTGGTGTTGCAGAAAAGTCAGAAAAAAAAATATGTACAGTGCTTTGAATAAGTAGGAAATTAATAAATGTCAGCTGTTATTACATTGCCTTCAATGCCTGGGTGAAGAGCACTATACCAAGTAAGTGTTTGAATGATGATCCATAAATTCATCATGGAATGAATGAATGAATGAATTCAAAACCCAAAACCAAGATGGCTTATGCCTACCTTGTTTGGAATTATCTATTGCCTGATCACAACAGACTTTACTTAATAAGGCTTTGTAATAGTGGCTTCTTTGGAGGAACTCTTTTGGCAAATCACTTTGATGTTAGGTTTCCCTGGTGGCTCAAATGGTAAAGAATCTGCCTGCAATGCAGGAGACCCAGGTTCAATTCCTAGATGGGGAAGATCCCCTGGAGAAGGGAGTGGCCACCCACTCCAGTATTCTTTCCTGGAGAATTCCACTGACAGAGGAGCCTGGTAGGCTACAGTCCACGGGGTTGCAAAGAGTCAGATATGACTGAATGACTAACACTTGATGTTGGCCCTAGATTCCCAAACTCAGTTATTTTCTGGTAAGCTTGAGATGGGAGTTTGTTCAGTGTTCTGTCCTCTACATAGTAGGGCAAAGAGAACAAGAGCTCGTATTTGCTACCCCACGGCTGCCCTTCACACCTTTTTTTGAATAGAACATTATTTATTTACTGTTGTTTAGTTGCTAAATTATTTATTTTTGGCTGCACTGGATCTTTTTCGATTTTTTAACTGAAGGTAAATTGCCTTACAATGCTGTGTTGGTTTCTGCCATACAACAACATGAATCAGCCATAATTGTATATTATTATATATAATTATGTTCCCTCCCTCTTGAGCCTGCCTCCCCTTCCCCTACCCTACCCCTCTTGGTCATCACAGAGTGTCAGGCTGGGGTCCCACGCTATACAGCAACTTCCCACCAGTTATCTGTTTTACATATGATAGTGTCTGCTGGTCAATGCTGCTTTCTCCAGGAAACCCTCCTACACTGTTGGTGGGAGTGTAAACTGATACAGCCATCATGTAGAACACTATGGTGATTCCTTAAAAACTAGGAATCAATCTACAATATTACCCAGCAATCCCACTACTGGCATATACCCTGAGAAAAACGTAATTGAAAAAGGCATATGTACCCCAATATTCATAGCAGCACTATTTATAATAGCCAGGACATGGAAGCAACCTAGATGTCCATTGACAGATGAATGGATAA